GATGACCATGATGACGGTTTAGATCGCCATGATGACAGTGTAGATGACCATGATGACGGTGTAGATGGGCATGATGACGGTGTAGATGACCATGATGACGGTGTAGATGACCATGATGACGGTGTAGGTGGCCATGATGACGGTGTAGATGGCCATGATGACGATGTAGATGACCATGATGACGGTGTAGATGGCCATGTTGACGGTGTAGATGGCCATGATGACGATGTAGATGGCCGTGATGACGTAGTAGATGACCATGATGACGGTGTAGATGGCCATGATGATGGTGTCGATGACCATGATGATGGTGTAGATGGGCATGATGACGATGTAGATGGCCATGATGACGATGTAGATGGCCGTGATGACGATGTAGATGACCATGATGACGGTGTAGATGGCCATGATGACGATGTAGATGGCCATGATGACGATGTAGATGACCATAATGACGGTGTAGATGGCCATGATGATGATGTAGATAGCTATGATGACGGTGTAGATGGTCATTATGACGATGTAGATGGCCATGATGACGGTGTAGATGGCCATGATGACGGTGTAGATGGCCATGATGATGATGTAGATGGCCATGATGACGGTGTAGATGTCCATGATGACGGTGTAGATGGCCATGATGACGATATAGATGGCCATGATGACGGTGTAGATGGCCATGATGACGGTGTAGATGACCATGATGACGATGTAGATGACCATGATGACGATGGAGATGGCCATGATGACGGTTGTAGATGGCCATGATGACGGTGTAGATGGCCATGATGACGATGTAGATGACCATGATGATGATGTAGATGGCCATGATGATGATGTAGATGACAATGATGACGGTGTAGATGGCCTTGATGACGATGTAGATGACCATGATGACGATGTAGATGCCCTTGATGACGATGTAGATGGCCATGATGACGGTGTAGATGGCCATGATGACGATGTAGATGGCCATGATGACGGTGTAGATGACCATGATTACGGTGTAGATGGCCATGATGACGATGTAGATGACCATGATGACGATGTAAATGACCATGATGACGATGTAGATGGCCATGATGACGGTGTAGATGGCCATGATGACGATGTAGATGGCCGTGATGACGATGTAGATGACCATGATGACGGTTTAGATCGCCATGATGACGGTGTAGATGACCATGATGACGGTGTAGATGACCATGATGACGGTGTAGATGGCCATGATGACGATGTAGATGACCATGATGACGGTGTAGATGGGCATGATGACGGTGTAGATGGCCATGATGACGATGTAGATTGCCATGATGACGATGTAGATGACCATGATGACGGTGTAGATGGCCATGATGACGATGTAGATGACCATGATGACGATGTAGATGACCATGATGAAGATGTAGATGGCCATGATGACGGTGTAGATGACCATGATGACGGTGTAGATGGCCATGATGACGATGTAGATGGCCATGATGATGGTGTAGATGGCCATGATGACGGTGTAGATGGCCATGATGACGATGTAGATGGCCATGATGACGGTGTAGATGGCCATGATGACGGTGTAGATGGCCATGATGACGATGTAGATGACCATGATGACAATGTAGATGCCCATGATGACGATGTAGATGGCCATGATGATGGTGTAGATGGCCATGATGACGATGTAGATGGCCGTGATGACGATGTAGATGACCATGATGACGGTGTAGATGGCCATGATGACGATGTAGATGGCCATGATGACGGTGTAGATGGCCATGATGACGGTGTAGATGGCCATGATGACGATGTAGATGACCATGATGACAATGTAGATGCCCATGACGACGATGTAGATGGGCATGATGACGGTGTAGATGGCCATGATGACGATGTAGATGGCCGTGATGACGATGTAGATGACCATGATGACGGTGTAGATGGCCATGATGACGATGTAGATGACCATGATGACAATGTAGATGCCCATGATGACGATGTAGATGACCATGATGACGGTGTAGATGGCCATGATGACAGTGTAGATGGCCATGATGACGATGTAGATGGCCATGATGACGGTGTAGATGGCCATGATGACGATGTAGATGGCCATGATGACGGTATAGATGACCATGATGACGGTGTAGATGGCCATGATGACGATGTAGATGACCATGATGACGATATAGATGCCCATGATGACGATGTAGATGGCCATGATGACGGTGTAGATGTCCATGATGACGATGTAGATGGTCGTGATGACGATGTAGATGACCATGATGACGGTGTAGATCACCATGATGACGGTGTAGATGGCCATGATGACGGTGTAGATGACCATGATGACGGTGTAGATGACCATGATGACGATGTAGATGGCCATGATGACGTTGTATATGGCCATGATGACGATGTAGATGGCCACGATGACGATGTAGATGACCTTGATGACGATGTAGATGACCTTGATGACGATGTAGATGGACATAATGACGGTGTAGATGGCCATGATGACGATGTAGATGGCCATGATGACGGTGTAGATGACCATGATGACGATGTAGATGGCCATGATGACGATGTAGATGACCATGATGATGGTGTAGGTGACTATGATGACGATGTAGATGACCATGTTGACGGTGTAGATGGCCATGATGACGGTGTAGATGACCATGATGACGATGTAGATGGCCATGATGACGGTGTAGATGGCCATGATGACGATGTAGATGGCCATGATGACGGTGTAGATGGCCATGATGACGATGTAGATCGTCATGATGACGATGATGACCGTGATAACGATGATGATGATTATGACGATGTTCCTCTAGCATTTGAAAAGCAAAGGACTGAGTTTGGTAACTCGAATGAAATCGATAAGCAGACGATACCCCTCCTCCTTCCCGTATATTTTTCTCCACATAAAATATTTAAAAAATTACACATCCCATCAGCCACATAGCCCTTCTTACTGTGCCATAATTTCAGCAGCACTGTGGTTCGATACAAGCAAAAGTCTGGTCATGTCTTGACATTCAGCGTCTCATCAGCAGCAGTCAAACTTGCTTGGACCAATGGTGGTGAACTGCCACTTGTTCATCGGCAAGGACCCCTCTGTTCGATACGTGTCCTAGTTGGAGTCAAAACTCAATCGTAATTCACAAAACAATCATTCACATCGTTGCGTAGAATCTAAATAAAATAAACAAGCAGACAATTCCGTCTCCTCGCGCTTGTTGAGTTTGGCACCCTGGATCCCAATTGTCGCTCCTAAAAAAGTGGGCTGAGAGTGAGCCTCTGGTAGAGACACAAAGACCTCACACCGATATCTACAGACTCGTATAGAGACCCACAGACTCACATAGAGACAGACCCATTGACTTACATAGAGACCCATAGACTGACATGGAGGTCCATGGACTCACAGTCACCTGTATATTCGCATAGAGATCACAGAAAACCCACGTGTGCGAGGGGGGAAGACTCTATCCCAATGAAATGGAACATATGGAGTCCACACGTACTTTACTGCCTTCTCCTCTAAAGTGAGGGTATGGCATCTCCTCGATGTGCACGGGAAGGGAGTTTAGCAACTTTTTTGTGCTCCACCAACCCTCACTGCCTCCACAGTCCTGGACTGCACGGCTTGGGAATGAACGGAGTGTGCGGCTTGTGTGAGAGTCGGGATCTCTCCTTTTGTTCCCCCCCATCACAATGCGACCACCGTTCGGAATGTAACCACAGAGCGTGAGGGCCATCCCTCGCCAACAGTGCCGCGTTCTCGACCAAGACGAGAGGGAAGCGCGGTGGAGGAACTGGCAGCGTTTGCGATTATTAACCAGGCAGGGGGAACATCTTTGAGTCTGCTTCGTCCGTAGGGGATCAAACATTCACGGGAAAAGTGGCTTGTCTGTCGATCCGTTCCACGCAATGAGGAGGGATCTAGCATCAGTTTTAGGCACATTGTTGTTGTTGCTGAAGAAAAAAACTAGGAAGTAAATTGTCCACAATGCGACGTTGATTTAAATGTGGGAATCAGGAAGGCTACGCCCAACCGCAGCCCGGCCCAGCCAGGGATGAGGCCGGGAGAGGAGCCAGTTGGGCCTGGCACCAGGACCCTCGGAGTCGCTGTGTCTCCCACCTCCTCCTCCTCCACCCCTCCCTCCTTACCCTCCAAACCCCGGCACGGTCCCTGTCTGCTATGGCAGCCGCGCGTCATCTTTGGCCCAGAGATGTTTTTAATCGTCTACACAAGCCGCGTGAATCCCACCACTTGGCCTGTTTTCAGTGTGTGCGTGTGTGGGGGGAGCGGTAGCGCAGTGGTTAGCACGCTGCGCAAGCAACACGGCAATTTAAATTCCCGCTCGTGACCAATAAGAGTGAAAGCGAATATTTAAACTGGCCCTGGGATTCCCCTAGGTTAACTCAGCCTCAAATTAGTACCTGGTGAAATGTGCAAACAGCACTGGGGAGACACAAGTGTCCGGGCGTGGTGTTGGTCACCCACCTCCTCGTGTGCCGTGCCGACCTTCATAGATGCTCGCTAACAGCACTTGCCCCAACAGTCTGTTAACGCTATACGGGTGGTTTTTGCCTTGGCAGCGGTAACATTCGTGCCTCACAGCGTGAATTATCTGGCTTTGATTCCAGGCTGTGGCACACTTCTGTGTGGAGTTGCTAAGTTCTCTCCCTGTTGTGCACGGACTTTCTCTTGGTCCTCCCGTTAGAATCCTTCCTTTGTTAATAACACACACAAAGGTAATAATCTTGGACCAAACATTTCAGTGTACAAGTAACTGCGTTGCGTGGCGTATAAACTCCAAACAGGAAGGCCGCCCTAGTCAGGAATCAAACCCAGGCCCTCCTTGTTGTGAGCGTAACGACTGGCCATGCAAGTAACTCATATTATTAATATGATATCAATTTATTCTCATTTTTTCTTCGCCTTGTCCATTGACTTAGTGGCTGTGCCCCTCTGCCCCCTCCCGTCGCAGGCTCGTTTGACACCACGACCCCCGTGAGCGAGGTGGTGCAGGGCAAGGTGACGCTGCATATCGCGAACGCCACCCCGGCACACGCCGGCGTCTACTGCGCGCGCTACGTCAGCAACAGCTGGCTCCTGGGCGCCTGCACTCGCCTCATCGTGCGCCGTGAGTCCGGCGAACTCCGTTCCGAGCCACGTGATGAGAACGAGAGCGAGAGATCGTAAAAAAAAGAGAGGAAGAGAGAGAGAGAGAGGAAGAGAGAGAGAGAGGAAGAGAGAGAGGGACGCCCGGTCACGTCGCGCGGTCGCTCGTGTCACCCAGAGCCAGCGCGTGTGTGCGTGTGCGTGGGGAGCGGTAGTAGATGGGTGCCACGGTGTTGAAATGTCATCTCCCTCGCCTGGTATGCAGGTGGTTGTGGGTTGCAAAGCTATGGAAGAAAAAAAACCCGACATGATGAATGAAGCAAAGTGTCGACTAAACCGAGCATCTTCTTGTTTCCTCTGATCGTAAAAAAAAGCGAGCTGTATATTTGGAGTTTGCGTGTCTCTCTCCCTGTGGTCGCGTGGATTTTTCTCAGGGTCCTCTGGTTTTTTCCTCCACATTTAGAAACAACATCACGTGTTTAGACTATTTGGCTGTTTTACATTTCCGCACGTTGAGCTATATGATTTGTGACAAGGTCACTTCTGAAAAAGTGCTACATAGCTCAGTGGGCCTTACCTGATTAAATAAAATAAAAATAGTTTTGGTAGTGGTTAGCATGCGGTGCTACAAAGTACAAACCCGGCGAACCGAGTTCGATTCTCCCTCATGGCCAACACCAGTGACGATTATCTGAATCGGTCCTGGGCCTACCCTTGGTCGACTCAGCATCAAATGAGTACCTGGTGTAGTGTGTGAACATCGCCACTAGGGAGACAAAGGCGGCCGGGTGTGGTGTTGGCCACCCACCCCCTCGTGTGCCGTGCCGGTCTTAATCGGTGCTCGCGGAGAGCACTTTCCCCAGTTGTTTAAGGCTATACGGGGGACCTTTGTGTTTGTCTGTGCTCCTCGTAATTCCTCAACAGATGGCACATCAGGAAAAGCGCCAGGCAGAGATTGTCTCCCAAGCGAACTGCTGAGGGAAGGTGGCGTTTGTGTGTAGACTGCCAAATGTGACATAATCACAACTGTCTGGACTACAGACAGGATTGGAAGGATGCCCGAGTGGTCCCCCTCTTCAAGAAATGGGACCGTACTTGATTGTAACAACTACCGGGGCATCTCCCTCCTCAGTTTGCCGTGAAGAGTCCTGGCAAGGGTTATTTACCGTTGCCTTGCCAGCATGCTGAGGACAGACTTGCGGAGCCCCAATGTGGTTTCAAGCTGGGGCGTTTCTGCACGGGCGCCATATTCTCTGTCCATCTGCTACAGCAGAGGTGTAGGGAATTTCAACAGGACCTACATCACTGCTTTATTGACCTTCGTCAAGGCTCGTGATACCATCAATAGGCAAGGGCTCTGGGTTATTTGTCATGCTCTCGGGGTCCCTGAGCCTCTTTACATCACACTATGTAACACTATTTTTGTTCCTGGGTAGTGTTATTTTCTAACGGCTTGTGCCTCAAAAGTATATAAAATGCCTATTATTCCCCACAAATTTTGCTTTTGTGACCAGGACTTTACGTGAAGGAATGACACAAATGCACACGTTTTCTCATTGAAAATAGGTCAATTTCAAAATATCACTGTCCTAGTCACAAAAGCAAAGTTTGTGGGAAATAGCTATTTTCTGTACTTTTGAGGCATAAGTAATTGGAAAACAACACTTACTAGCCAGGAACACATTTTTGTTGTTGTTACACAGCGTAATCATTAAGAGCCTTGGTGATGATGGGCAGGCCCGGCTGAAGCTGCGTTGCTTCAACTCGAAGGCGTTGAGCCGGCACCGACCTCGACCCTGGAGGTCACGTGGGGCAGATGCGACGGCCTCTGTCGCCATGGCAACAGCACTCGCAAGCCGCCCCGATGATTTCCCGATGATGAGCTGATGACAATGACCTGAAGATGATGATGACCTGATGATGATGACCCGATGATGATGACCTGATGACGATGACCTGATGATGATGATGACTCCATCATCCCTGCAGGGTGTCCCGCGGACCTGTGGGGACTGGACTGCGCGCGGCAGTGCCCGGCGTGCCTCCATGGCGGCGTGTGCCACGAGGACAGCGGCACCTGCGTGTGCCCACCAGGCTTCATGGGCCCCGTGTGCGAGACCGGTAATGGGCGTGAAGTCAGCGCGGGGGCCGGGGGAACGAGTGGTGGGGAGGGGGGGCAGGGGGGGGAGTTTGGCGTCACCTCTCGACCGATGCATCGACACCGGTGCGATGATGATGATCATGAATTTATGTTTGTAAATGAACCAGCAGTAGTCGTCATACGATTTGAAAAATATAGCAATTTATTCAACCGCCAATAACAAAAACCCAATACTGCTTGGCCTTAAAATGAAACATGACAGGTGATGTTTTGGGCAATGTCCCTTCTCAAGGACCTGTCTCGGAAACGTTTCCAAAAAATGATGAGAACCCCTGGCTTAGGATAATTCGTTTCAAACAATGCCCACGTTTGGCATATTGCCATTACGTACTTTCACTTAGTGTATTTTCTAACACATGCCATCGGTCACTCGGCCTTTAAGAAGTGTATTTCAGAGCACTTATTGAACATAAGTGTTGAACCAATCTTGCTGAAATGATGCATTCACAGAAGGCCATGCGGCTTATGGAACGTGTGAACATACATTTAAAATATATATCTTTTACGTAGGGATAGACGGGCATAGTTTGTGATGATTTATGTTACGAATTAACTGTGTTTACATAGAATTGTCAATCAACGCACGCCCTGCCAGCGGCGACTGCGCGCGCCTGTTCGGAGCGGTGGCGCACTGACGACGCGACTTCGATTCCCGCTCACCACCAATAAAAGTGGCCATCGTTTGAACCGCCTATGAGCCCTCCCCTATGTTGACTCGGCCTCAAATGAGATATCTGGGTGCTGTGTGTAAACATCAGCACTGGCAAAGGCGGCCCACTCAGGTGCGCCATGTCGGCCTTCGTAGGTGCCGCTTGCAAACAGAACTTGCCCCAACGGTCTGTTCAAGGCAATACACGGGCGATCTTTGTCTTTGCAGGATGCGGGGACAATGCGTTTGGGAGCAAGTGCTCCGAGCGTTGCAAGGACGGCGGCTGCAACTTCTACACGTTCTGCCTCCCGGACCCCTACGGCTGCTCCTGCGCGACCGGGTGGCACGGCCCAGACTGTGACAAGCGTGAGCACCCAGACGCCCCGCTCGCCCCGTGCTGTGTGCTCCATCCTATATGCTGTGTGCTACTTGCTGTGTGCTCCATGTTGTGTGCTCCATGCTCTATGCTGTGTGCTCTATGTTGTGTGTTTCATGCTCTATGTTGTGTGCTCCCTATTCTATGCTGTGTGCTCCATGTTGTGTGTTTCATGCTCTATGTTGTGTGCTCCCTATTCTATGCTGTGCTCTATGCTGTGTGCTCCATGTTGTGTGCTCCATGCTCTATGTTGTGTGTTTTATGCTCTATGTTGTGTGCTCCCTACTCTATGCTGTGCTCTGCTCTATGCTGTGTGTTCCATGTTGTGTGCTCTATGCTGTGTGCTCTATGTTGTGTGCTCCATGTTGTGTGCTCCCTATTCTATGTTGTGTGCTCCATGTTGTGTGTTTCATGCTCTATGTTGTGTGCTCCATGTTGTGTGCTCCCTATTCTATGCTGTGCTCTATGCTGTGTGCTCCATGTTGTGCTCCATGCTCTATGTTGTGTGTTTCATGCTCTATGTTGTGTGCTCCCTACTCTATGCTGTGCTCTATGCTGTGTGCTCCATGTTGTGTGCTCCATGCTCTATGTTGTGTGTTTCATGCTCTATGTTGTGCTCCATGTTGTGTGCTCCATGCTCTATGTTGTGTGCTCCATGTTGTGTTTCATGCTCTATGTTGTATGCTCCATGTTGTGTGTTTCATGCTCTATGCTGTGTGCTCTATGCTGTGTGCTCCATGTTGTGTGCTCCATGCTCTATGCTGTGTGCTCTATGTTGTGTGCTCTATGTTGTGTGCTCCATGCTCTATGTTGTGTGCTCCATGTTGTGTGCTCCATGCTCTATGTTGTCTGCTCCATGCTTTGTGCTCCATGCTCTATGTTGTGTGCTCCATGCTCTATGCTGTGTGCTCCATGCTCTATGTTGCGTGCTCCATGTTGTGTGTTTCATGCTCTATGTTGAGTGCTCTATGTTGTGTGTTTCATGCTCTATGTTGCGTGCTCTATGTTGTGTGTTTCATGCTCTATGCTGTGTGCTCTATGTTGTGTGGTTCATGCTCTATGTTGTGTGCTCTATGTTGTGTGAGCCCTGCTCCATGCTGTGCTCCCTGCTCTGTGCTGTGTGTTCTCTGCTCCCTGCTCTATGCTGTGTGCTCTATGTTGTGTTTCATGCTCTATGTTGTGTGCTCCCTGTTCTATGCTGTGCTCTGCTCTATGCTGTGTGCTCTATGTTGTGTGCTCCATGTTGTGTGCTCCATGTTGTGTACTCCCTGCTCTATGTTGTGCTTCATGTTGTGTACTCCATGCACTGTGCACCAGCATGGTGCAGCGGTAGTTATCTGCTCCTTGTTGCAGAGGTATATGTGGTTCGATCTGGCATGCCGCCCTGGTTAATACTGCGGTGTGTACAGTATTAACTATAGGAGTACTATGCGCCAGAGTATTTTTACTCACCATGGACGAGACGTATTGTTATTATTATGATTCCGCTTGTTTACCCAGGAAAGCCTCGCTGAGTCTCAAGACTCTTTGTCAGGAGGGTCCTGCCTCGGTTTGCAATGCGTGTTTCCCAACCGAGTGATTTGCGGTGGACATTTTATTCAAATTTGGAGTGTGACGCCGGCACGTGACGGCTTCCTCTTCGAATGACGTCGCGGGATCTCGATGAACGTCCGCCGCGAGCGAAGCAGGCGGTGCCGAGCGTTTCCCGGTCGATGCCGCACCGCCGCAGGGCCAGTGAGGACGGCCTGCCGGATTTGTGTGTTCGGGAGCGTGCGTGTGGGTCGTGCGTGTTGGTGCGTGCGTGTTGTTGTCGTTGTTGTGGGGAGCGGTTGGTGCGCTGCGCTACGAACCCGGCGACCCGAGTTCGATTCCCGCTCACGGCCAACACCAGTGACGATTATCAGAACCGGTCCCATGCCTCCCCTAGGTCGACTCCGCCTCAAACGAGTACCTGGTGCGGTGTGTAAACATCGCCACTGAGGAGACAAAGGCGGCCGGGCGTCATACTGGCCACCCACCCACCCACTCGCGTGCTGTGCCGGCCTTTATTGGTGCTACTCGCTAACAGCACTTGCCCCAGCAGCCTGTTAAGGTTGCACTTGTGTGTGTGTGTGGTGCTCAGCGTGCGGCGCAGGGGATTACGGGCCAAACTGCCGCTTCAAGTGCGAGTGTGAACGCGGGGCGCCCTGCGACCCCTTCCGAGGCTGCGTCTGCCCCGAGGGCTGGAAGGGCGCGCGGTGCGAGCAGGAGGGTGAGATTGCACGCAACGATACGCAACCGTCGTGCGCAACCATTGCAATCAGCGCACGTAACAATTTAATCTTACTCCTGCATGAATGGATTTTCAACATCACTTTCGTTCCAGGAGATATACTTTGTTTCGTATTGACTTATGTTCGTGTACTGTGTTCCGTGTAACACTGTTGCTTTTGCCCCGATTTCTATTTTATTCATTGCCACACTTAGTTTTTTACGCCCGATCCCTGGCCCCCCACGCAGCCCTGACCCCCCCCTGCATACTGGAGCCGCTCGACGACCTGGAGATTAATGCTCGCACGCGGCTGCAGCTCAACTGCTCCGCCACAGGGTTCCCCACGCCGCGGCGCGACAACATCGAGCTGTTCCGGCCCGACGGCTCCAAGCTCAGCGTGAGCGCCGCACCGCACTGTGGAAAACTGCACCACGCCAGACCGCACCACAACGCACGTGTGACCCCATGCAACCCCGTGTTCTCCTGTGTGACCCCACGCGACCCCGCATGACCACGTGTTCTCCCGTGTGACCCTGCGTTCTCACATGTGACCCCGTGTGACCCCGCGTGAACCCACGTGACCCCACGTGATTTCGGCATCGTGCCCTGTGCTCCAGCCTGCATCATCCAGCACGGAGAGGAATGTCACCACCTCGACGTTCAAGCTGGCCGAGGCCAAGGTGACGGACGATGGGGAGTGGAGGTGCCGCGTGGAGACGCCTGCAGGCCGCGACGAGAAGTCTTTCCGCGTCGCCTTCAAAGGTCTCGTGGACATTCGCGCTCTCAATCTTCCTCCTCCGCCTCGTCCCACCCACGCCATGCACACTGCGCTGTCGGCATCACGCGACGGAGAATCGTCTCTCGGTGTCTTTCGCGGCACGGTGCGGCGCGCCTAGAGAACGGCTCGCGGGAAGCAGACACCGCAGAACCGCTCCCCACCGCATCTTTTATCCCTAAACTCGAAACGTGTTACGCTCTTATCTGTGACAAGTTTGATAACAGTGCTGTTGGTTACTGGCCGCTCGATGTTTTGGGCCTTTGTTCCCTGTGCTCATCGAACTGGAAAGAAACAAATTCACCTCTCATCTGCACTGGGGGGACGACGACGACGACACACGCACATTCGCCCCCATGCACGCCGCAGAGAAATGCTCGTTGCGTGGCAGTCGAGCCTATATCTCAAATTCTTGGTCGTGTAAACACCTCAATATATAGAGGACCGCAGAGCTCGGACGATTGTTGGTGGCGCTGGCTCATGGTGTGGCTGCGGCTGCCTCCCTCGTGTCTGTGGTTCCCTCTCGCGCCTCCCAAGTCGTTCTCTCTCTACGGGAGCGATGAGTGAACACTGTGCCTACACGGTTGTGGTGCGTTACAAGTTGACATCATTATTATTTATCCATATTAGGTTTACAAATGTAACCTTATGTCATGACAAATTAGATAACCAGACAATGTGTCTCCTTCACATATCCGTCTCTCTACATATTTCTGACACAGCACAGCCTTCTGGGAGTGCATTGATTTTAAGACGCGAAAAACTACAAACCGGTTCAACATTCGCTGTCTGGACAGGTTTCAACATTCGGTGTATCATCAGCAGTCAGGCTCGCTTGAACCAAAGCTGGTGAACTGCTGGTCTTAACGGGCAAGGACCCTCTCGTCCAGCAGAAAACTTAACAACACGCAACATACTGGAGCATATAAGTAACAAAGACGACTATAAAATTACTGCGCTTGAGAACTGACAAGGAACATTCACGGAGGGCGACGTGCTCTGTCAGCCAACCGCCGTGAGTGTTGATGGTGTACAAGGGCAGGGCAGGCCTGGTGACGTCGCGTGTGGCCCGCTCAGGAGCGGCGACCGAGCAATCGCCCCAAGACCCCTCGCACGCCACGTGCACTTTAGCCGGAGCCGTTCCTTCTGCTTACCGTGGCGATCATCAACCTGCCCTCTCTCTACGATGCCATTCGGCTTTATTTCACAGCTGCAGTCCCATGCGCTCAACCGGTTTTCCGTGTCATCAAGTGTGCATGGTGCATGGCGAGATACGTCGACCACAGGCCCGAGCCAGTTCAGTATCGTTTTGAAATGGACCTCCTCAAGTAAAAACTGTCAAGGTTGTGGAGGACGGTGCGGATGTGATGACGTCAACATTCGTCAGTCGTGTGCCGCCCATCGTGTTTCTCTCACTTCTGTAGTCATATCCGCTCTTGTTCCTCAACATTGAAATGTGATTAAATCAGCCCATGGTCCACGAGGGCACCACGTAACATTCCACCAATCCTGCTCCGTCATCGTTATTATATTTTGGTTGAAATCGGAGCGTCGCGCTCCGAGAACGTCCCCCCCTTGTGAGTTTCACTGCAATGGCAACGAGACGGATGGTCCGCTCGGTCACACATTATCCACGACGACGCTCGAGATCGCCACCGCGGGCGGCCAATTCCCTGGTGACGCTAACTAATGCCGATGGCTGCACCCATCGGCAGCTACGCCGCTGACCCCGGTGGCTCTGGGGTTATACAGTGCCGAGTCGTGCCGAGTAGGCGGTGCAGCCGCGCCGGGGCCCCGCCGACCGTGGATAGAGGCCCGGCTGCCGGGCCGCGAAGAACGCAGGAACCGGAGACGCGTCCACCGCCGGGGCTGCGGCGACCGGTGCCGCGGCGCGGTCGGCTGCCCGCAGTCGTTCCCGCGTTCAATTCCGTCGTGGCCCCCCTTCCCTCGCTCTCCCTCCCCCGGCAGTGCCGCCCTCGCCCGAGTCCCCGCCGCGGCTCGTGCAGCGGTTCAGCACGGCGCTCATGTTGGACCTCATGGTGACGCCGCACAAGGGCGATGGGCCGCTCCAGGGCGCCCGCCTCATCTACACCTCCAGCAGCCGCCCTGCCGAGAAGCTGTGCGACGTATACCGTGAGTGCCGCGCTTCACCGTGACGCCTACGTGGTGATCACCGTGATGTCTTCTTTAATGATGACCGTGACGTTTACCGTGACAATCACTGTGATGACCTGGTAAAATAACAATAGTTTAGTTAATTTTTACAATTACTACGACATCTATGGTGATTACCTTGACGATTTCTGTGATGTGTCCCTGCTTTGTCCATGCCGCGTCTCTGCCGTGTCCGTGCCGCGTCTCTGCCGCGCCCGTGCAGTGGAGAACGTGTCGTCCTACCTGCTCGGAAACCTCCAGCCGCTCACCAACTACAGCCTGAGGGTGCAGCTGCAGCGTCCGGGGCCTGAGGGCTCCGGGCCGCGGGGCCCCGAGGCCATGCTGCAGACAGACTGCCCCGGTAAAAAAACAAAACCACGCGCGGCACGCTCGCCAAAACAGCCCGCGCGGTCCCGGACCGATTCCCCCGAACCAACGTCTCCCCTCCCTTCCCGTGTCTCCGCCACGACGTCCAGACCCCACGGTGGCCCCCGTGCTGGGCCCCGTTGCCGCGACGGGCCGCACGGAGGTGCGGGTGGCGTGGTCGCTGCCGGCGCCTCCGCCCGTCGTGGAGAACGCCGAGGGCGTGGTGCTGCTCTTCCACCGCCCGGCCGACGGCTTCTTGCGCGAGGTCAAGGTGCCGGGGCTGGAGGCGCAGGAGCGCTCCGTGCAGGACCTGGAGCCCGACCACCGCTACTCACTGCATCTGCTGCTCTACAACTGCGGCAGCCGCGGGCCGCCCTCACAGAGCCACAGCTTCCTGCTTGGCTCGCTCGGTACGCATCTTGTCTCGCCGTGTCCGATTCTCGTCGCGTCTTGCCGTGCCGTGTCTCTCCATGTCCGTTGCTCATCATGTCTTGCCGTGTCTGTTTCTTGTCGTGTCTCGTCGTGTCCGCTTCTCATCATGTCTCGCCGTGTCTCGCTGCGTCTTACCACGCCCCGCTGTGTCTCTCGCTGCGTCGCGTCACGTGCTCCCCCATCTCGGCCTCCCCCAGGCCCCTCGGTGCCGCTGGGCTTGCGCGCTCGCGCCCTCAATCAGACGGCCGTGCGCCTGACCTGGGAGCCGCCCTCCTCGCACCGCGGCCGCATCGTGCGCTACCTCGTCGAGTGGCGGCGGGCGCCCGGCTCCGGGGCGGGGGCCGCGGGTTCCGCAGGCCCGGGGCCCGCGGGGCCGGCGGGGTCCGGCTCCTCGTCGCCGGCAGGGGTGACGGACGCCGTGCCCCGCGAGGCCGCGACGCCCGGCGACCGGGCGCAGCTCACGGCGGCGCAGCTGCAGCCGGCGTCGCGCTACTCGTTCCGCGTGCGCGCGCACGCACAGGAGCCCGGCGCGTGGAGCGAGGCCATCACCGCGTGGACCCACAGCAACCGTGAGCGCCGCCAATGGCACTGCCGCCACCACCACCACCAGTACCGCCACTGCCGCCACCACCGGGCTCTTACCCATCCAGGCTCTCACCAGTCCTGGCTCTCACACGTTCAGGCTGGCATACGAGGGACGTTTGAGCTTTGGCTCAAATGTCCGATTCTTTAAATATGCACGCGCTCTAATTCGTGTTTTATATGATCAAAACTCAACTCCTGCCATCACTCAAATACAGGTGCCAATCTTCAGGCTCACGAGGAACAAACCTCCATCAAAACCAGGTTTGACCTCGCGCAAATCCGGGTCAAACCTGGGCAGGTGGCAGCACCGTAGACGAGCATCATCCTGGCCACTCCATCTGTGCGCCGCGGCTCCGCACGGAGAAGTGGATTCCCGATTTCAGGCTCTCATGGCGGACGCCGATGGACTGCGCCACGTGTGTGCGTGTGCGTACGGTCATGTGTGTGTGGCAGGTCCCCCGCCCGCCCCCACAGATGTCCATATCTACAACACCACGGACACGGCGGCCACCGTGTCCTGGAGTGTGGCCGAGGGGCACTTCATCTCTGCCATCATCCTGCGCTACAAGGTGAGCCCTGGCACCAACACCGCCTCCCAGCTGGGCCCACCGCCAGTCCCCACGCTCCGCTCATCACCGGTCCCCACGCTCTGCTCACCACGAGAACGATGGCGACGGTGAAAGGGAAGCATGGGGATTCAGGGACAGAAGTCATTGGGAGGGAGACGCACAACGCCATGGGCACGCATGATACAACACTGCTCGTGAGACCAGCGAGGGGAGACCGGGAGGACGTGGTTTTGTTCTTGTGTAAGGCAGCAATACGTTCAGAAGCTAAATACCAATGTTGTGGTCTCTAGGAGAGAATTGGTGTCGTTTTGCTGTTCCTCCTCCTTTTGAACGGTGGTTTACTCTATAGTCTGTAGTTTGGGTTGCATGGCCACCATCGCACTACTGAGGCTTGTCTTGAATGTCCCACTAATGAAGGAGATGTGCGAATCGGCCTGTAGACATTCTGATGCGGTTGATAGTCACACCACCGGTGTCTTTGAACAACGTAGGCGTTGGATCTCGGTAGATTCCGGTATCGTCGACGGTACACGTGAACCTATCGCGAATTATACCGTGAATTGTGTCGCCGTGAATCCTGCCGTCCGCGCACCGCGCCTGGTGCAGGTGTACGGGGACCGCGAGCCGCTGGATCGGGTGGTGAAGCTGCCGGAGGGCGGCGAGGCTGGGCCTGTGCGCTCCGAGGCGCGTATTACGGGCCTCGAGCCCGAGCGGCCGTACCTCCTCGAAATCGTCGCCCGCAACAACGTGGGGGAGAGCTCGCCCAACATCATCCGCGAGCTCCGCACGCTCTCAACCATCGCAGGTGCCGCCCCCCTCCTCTCTCCACCATCGGAGGTGCTGCTCTCCCCCTTCCCCCCCCTCTGCACCATCGCAGGTGCGTGCGGGCCGTGTGTGTGTGTGGCGTGTACCTCGCTGATCTCTTCAAGGAGTTTAAACCATCACATGAAGCTTATGGCTGGCCATCGAACAAAGATGGTCACTGCAAAGCGCGTTTTCGGATGCCCTTCTGCGGCTGTCTGGAATGCTCTTCCTTCCGATATTGAGAAGGCACTGGAGCTATGCACTTTTAAATCTAGATTCAAAACTCCTTTGTTTAGAATTGTTTTTTGTGTTTAGTTGCTTGTCCTTCTCCCGCACCTCCAATTAGCATGGTTAGCTTCGTACTTTGCGAAAGAAGTTCAATATACATACGTACATGTGCCTGTATGCTCCACTAGGTGGTGATGAGTGCCTGGTTAATGGATTTCCTCTCCCAACTTTGGCCATGAATCGCATACACAGTCATGTGCACATGTGCTTGAGTCCATACACATAAGACAGAGACGAACATTCCCCTCTGTAGCAAGTGCAGTTAGCGAGCATCCATGAAGGCCGGCACGGCACGTGATGGTGTGGGTGGCCAACACCACGCCCGACTGCCTTTGTCTCCACAGCGATGATTTTTTTTATATACGCATCGCACCAGGTACTCATTTTAAGGCTGAGTCGACCGAGGGGGAGGTCCTGAGTGAGAGCCGGTTCAATTATCCGCCGCTGTTATTGGAAATTGCACTCGGGTCGCCAGGTCGGTAGCGCAGTGCCCTAATCCAGAACTCACGACTTAATTTCACAATAGACATGTACTGTAAGTTACAATGCATTTACGAGACGCTCGTGTCCGTGCGTGCGTGCGCGCCCGCAGTGATGTCGCAGGACAGGGGCGGCGGTGGGGACGCCCAGGCAACGGGGGGGCCCGCCGCTGGGCCCGAGCCGCAGCTGCTGCTGGCCGTGATGGGCTCCGTGGCCGTCACCTGCCTCACCATCCTGCTCGTCGTGCTCGTGCTGCTCTGCCTGCGCGGTAGCGTCTTCCGCCGACGCCGCACGTTCATCTACCCACCGGGATTGGTGAGCCCTCGCCACCGTCGCCACTCAGCCACTCGGCCAGCGCCCAATCATTGGCACCATCGCCACCGCCACCAATCAGCTGCCACCGCCACTCTGCCACTCAGCCTGCGCCCAATCGGCTGGCACCGCCACGACCAATCATCTGCCATCACCAATCATCTGCCATCACCAATCAGCCGTCACGACCTCCATCGCCACTGCCATATGTCTGCCACGACCATCACCGCCACCACCAATCAGCCGTCACCGCCATTCAGTCACTCCCATCACCGCCCAATCAGCGGCCACCGCCACCACCAATCGGCCGCCACTGCCACCTTTGTCACCAAACCCACCAGTCAACCACCACTCAGCCACTCAGCCACCACCAAATCAGCGGCCACCACCACCAATCAGCAATCACCATCGCCACCTTTGCCACCAAACCCACCAGTCAACCACTACTCTGCCACTTGGCCACAACCAAATCAGCCGCCATCACCATCACCTCCACCGCCATTCAGCCATGAGCGCACAGGAGCCGGATGGAGTGCTGTGATTTTTGTCTCTGTTGCTCAATGCGGTTGACCACATGTGGTGGTGAGACGCCCAGTGGAGGCAATGGAGGTTTTCTTGCGAAGTGTATTTTTTTTAACACATCCCATCAGCCACTTTGCCTTCAGGAAGGGCATCATTTCAGCAGAATTGGTTCAATGCAAGCAAAACTTGCATTGAGCGGGGTGCCACGGTGGTGAGACTTGGATGCCCTCGGCGCCATCAGAGAGGACAAGAAGAAGGCATGTGCTCACTCGTGATTTTGCCACAAAACTCCACGGGGTTGCTACCATCCTCATTGGTTCTACACAGCTGAGTTTGACTCGCCACGGTGGTGAGATGTTAACTACCTCACCTGGTATGCAGGAGGTCGTGGGTTCAAATCCGACCCTGACGCCTGCTGTATATTTGTAGTTTGCATGCTCTCCCCGTGGTCGTGTGGATTTTTCTCCGGGTCCTCCGGTTTTTACCTCCACATTTAAAAACACGCGTTTAGAGTATTTGGCTGCTAGAAATGTCCACATGATAAGCCACTTTGTTGAGCTATAATTTGTGGCCAGGTCGCTATATAGCTCAGTGGGCCTTACCTGGTAAAATAAAAAAAATAGTTGATTGCTTCGTTTAAAACTCTGGACCAGTGTTGGCACGCAGAGTTTTGCTTGTGTTGAACTAATCCAGCTGCCAATATTCAATTCCATGTGACTGTTGGGACGTGCAAAAATACCGTACATTTTAATGTGGAGAGACATATATGGGAAGGACGAGGCGCGTTGTCTGCTCAGTTACATTGTCTCTCATTTCCTCTACAACGATTGAGCCCAGCACCTCTCAGCCCGGTCGCCAACAACCGCACAAAAACCATCACCTCAAATTTGGTTCTGTGCTTAACGTGGCTCAACAAACTCGAGCTCTGAGAATTAAAATACCGCGACGAACATCACTCTCATATGGCAGAGCGCGTGAGACAGTGCTGCCCTCTCTGCTGTGTGTGGACCAGAGGTCACTTGAAGAAGAACTCTAAGAGGTAGCTCAGTGATATCCACTTATGTATACAGCCCCAAGCAGCCCTAAGCAGCCCTGAGCAGCCCTAAGCAGCCCTAAGCAGCATTTCACTCCGCCCAATGGCAATAAGGAGCATAACCCAGACTTACCGGACAGTCACTACTAATTGCTTCAAGAACAATTATCGGCAATTTTCCCAGAGCATGTATGTATGTATGTTGAACTTCTTTTGCACCGTATATAGCCAACTGTGCTAATCAGAGGTGCGATTAGCATGGGTGGCTATGCTGGGGAGGGAGCGGAGGGGAGGTGGGCGGAATCTGTTGTGGCTTCCGCACCTGACGCCCGACCAGGTCGGACGAACTCTCTAATCGGAGGAACTTTCAGAATGCCAAATGGCACGGCTACAAAAAAGTTACTGAAGCCCAATTGAAGAACCTAGAGCCACAGCCGGATGACTTTGATATAAATTCATAAAAATGTTGACATCTGCTGTAAAAGGCAACATCCCGAAGGAGTATCCTCTACCGCCACGTTGCCAACCAGAACCAGAAAGAGTTGATCAGAAGTGATGACCAAGATAAGGGAACTCTTGAAAGAGTTCATCAGAAGCGATGACCACGATAAGGGCACCGCACTGCTCGAGTCTCTGAACTCTACACGGAAAGACGTAACCACAGTCTCGGACTTCACTCCGGCCGTAACGCCTGGCAGCTCCTCCGGAACCCTGGGGTGCCTCAAATCCAACAGAGCGTAGAGCGCCAACAACCACAGTGAACGCTGCGGCTTCTTCACGCTGCTGTCCTGCTCAAGTAAGAGGAGTGGACAAGCTCGCCACACACATGCTGCCCCGAAACAGTTCCCCATCACCTTGAGCCAACGACCGTCAGCGGCCCTCGGGGTAACAAAGCCCACCGAGGCATCGGGGATATGACGGCCTGCGTGTCCTGAGTTGCTGATAGAACCTGCGACTGTAAGACTCATGATATGTATTGACACTGGAGGAATCCGATGAGCTATAAAGCTCTTTTTCACAGATGTCCATTCGGGGCACGGGGTCAGAACGTTACAACAACAAACAGTACAAAAGTATGCCAGGAGTGCTAAATATAGGAGAGGTAAGCACATGAATGAGAAAAAAATATTCAAATAAAACTAAACCTGTTTTATTTTACCGGGTAAAGCCCACTGAGCTATTAGCTTCCTTTTCAGATGCGACCTAAGCTACAAATGATAGCTCAACGATGTGGCTTATCACGTAGACGCTTAATAGCAGCCATGGACAACAATGGCTTGCAAACCTCTTCACCGGCATATACAGGACAGGCAGAGATGAAATGACAGCATGGAAGGAAGCCAAAGCCATCGTCATTCTGAAACCCGGAAAGCCACAAGACTCTCATTAAAACCGGTTTGCAGCGTCAACAGAAAACCTCTCTGCTGCCGGTGACACCGTTTGGTGTCATGGCCTGCTGCTGAAGTTGGCCACAATCAGTAGATCGTGCAGAAGATGCCACTCCTTGACGTGCCCTTCTGTGGTAGCCCAGTGCACCTATGACCCTACACAAACATATGTAGGGTTTATCACGGATAGAAAATCTGACCTTCAAGCCCCACATCAAATAGATCTGTGAAAAGACCAAAACAAGAATTGCTCTGCTATACAATCTTTCAGGAACAACCTCTGGGGCGCCTCAGCTGATGTGTTGGGGATGCCGCCCTCTCACTCATCTGATCAGTAGCAGAGTCACTGCGCCCCAGCCTGGTCCGGTAGCTTGTACACAATACTGCAAAGATCCACAATTGAATAACGCAATTATTTATTATTTCGCTAATGCTTTTTAAGAAGAACGCTGGTGCACAGAGTGGAATAACACGGACGTCCATAATAATAAACACCTCTTCGAGACCCGAATGTGGAACCCCCTGACTTTGACATTCCTCCTCTAAGACACCAGTGGAACCGTCAACCGCGTCATAACCATCTACAGGCCGATGCGCACATCTCTTTCATGAATGGAGAATTTAAGATACTCCTCAGTAGTGCGATGGTGGCCACGCGACCTGAACTATGGACTCTATGGTAAATAACTGGAGCCTGCGCTCCCTCAAGGGAGGAGTAGCAAAACTACACCAGCTCTCTCCTGAAGCCCTCTCGTGGCTATCAAATCTCATCATTGCCATTTAGCTCACAAACACATCGCCATGGTATGCAAGAACAGAGCAGAATTTGAACGTCTGTGGGCCGCTCTCTAACACTGCGGCAGATCCGAAAGGATCCTGACGCGATGCCGACAGCGCAACCTACTGGGTTGTGACCTCATCGAGACATTTGCGATATGTAAAAAGGTTTCTTGAATATATCCCTTGTGGATCTTTGGAGTGTTGTTGTCCCTTCGTGTATGCGGAGTAACAGCAAGCCTCGCGAAGCCCCAGCTTTCCACTCAGGAGATTGTCCAACCATCCAAATGTAGCAACACCCTTCTAAAGGGCTCTTCAGATGTACCGGGAGGCCGTTATGGGTAAATCTAGGCCATCATTTGAGTTATTACTGCCACGATAAATGGTTTCTCCTCACCTGATGAGGGCTATTTAAATTAACGTTGATGGATGGTTGTTTTTGCTCCCGTTTATACTCGATAGTTTTTTCGCCGATTCTATCCAGTTGTTGTTTTTCGGCGCTGGCTTCTCTTTGCATGCTTCTGTTCCGATTTCCGTTCGATCGGCTTTTTTGCCGCGGGTCGCCTTTTGCGCTCCTTTAAAATTTTCTTCGCCCTCTGCGCTTTATTTGACATCTGGGAGCACCTTTTGCGATTTCGGTGCCCACCGCCACCCACCCCCCCCCCCCCAAGCTCACGAGAAGGTCGACTGCTCTCGCGAAATTAAAGTCGATCCTCGAGCCCCTCTCCCGCCGAGCCCCTCGCCCAATGACACAAAATGAACGTGAACCGTGAGACCCCCCCCCCCCCCCGGTGCCACTGCCACCCCCACCCCTCCCCACCACCGTGCCTAGCGGGACGAGCCGGTCGTGCAGTTTGCGTCGGGAACGCTGACCCTGAGCCGCCGACCCAAGCCCCCCCCAGAGCCCATCAGCTACCCCGTGCTCGACTGGGACGACATCAAGTTCGAGGACATGATCGGCGAGGGCAACTTCGGGCAGGTGATCAAGGCGCTGGTGAAGAAGGACGGCACGAAGATCAACGTCGCCATCAAGATGCTCAAAGGTGGGCGGGCGAGCGAGCGGGCGGGCGGGCGGGCAGAATCGCCCACCCCGGGGCACTCTTGGGCTGCGTGAAGGATCGTTCGTTTCATGTACGATGCTGCACAACGTTGGACGATGTTGTGCCGAGCTGTACGACATTGTTCGATGTTGTACGATACTGCACGACGCTGTACAACGTTGTTATGATATTTCACGCTGATGTATGATGATGTGCAATGTTGCGCTTTCTATGATGTAGGAAAGTGTGTGATGTACGATACTGTACAATGTTCAATATTCTATGATGTGCAGTATTGTACGATACTTTACGGTGCTGTACGATACCGTATCATGTACAGTGTACGATGTACGACACCGTGCAACGTGCCCTATTGTACGATACTGTACAATGTACAATATTATTTGATGTTGTACAATGATATTGTACGATGTTGCACAATCGACGTTGCTGTACGATATTGCCCAATGTTGTACGATGTTGCACAATGCTGTCCGATGCACGATATTGTACGATACTGAATGATCTTGGAGGGTATTGTGCGATTTACGATACTGTGCAGTGTACGATGTTGTCATGTGAGGCGTTGCTCAGCCTGAGCCTGCACAGTCGTGCCGCCGTAAAGTGGTGAGATTTGCATCGCCGCAATCGTGAGGTTGCGAGTTCAAATCTTTGTCGGTTTTGTCCAATCGGATTTCCATTCATCGGCCCAATGATCCAGTAGGTTACCACATTGCGGAAAAGTCAACAGCCGCTGCCCCATCGTGGTATAGATTTATCCCCTGCCATAGGAATGTGGGATTTCCATTGTGACTCAGGCATGCGAATCAGAGGGAGAGATGACCGCAGGCCGAACCTGACGGATTACGAGATTGATCCTTCGAGCACGAATCCACGCAGGTTTCGCCTTTCCCCTTGTTCACGTTCGACAACGAACGCCGTCGGTGTTTGAATACCGCGCTTTTGACAAATGCCTCCACAACAGAATTCGCGTCTGAAGATGACCACCGAGACTTCGCGGGAGAGCTCGAGGTCTTGTGCAAGCTCGGGCACCATCCCAACATCATCAACCTCATCGGTGCCTGCGAGCACAGAGGTAAAACACGCCGCTCCCTCCTGCCGGGCGTCATCTCCGCCGATCGGAGCCGGGTTCCGTCCCTCGCGATGTGGGGGGGGGGGGAGGGATTCGGTTTCGGACGCTTTTGGAGAGCCACCCAATCAATCGGAGATTTAACCAAAAACAATAAATAACCACCGGCGTGTTTTTAAAGCACAGAATGTGCGCGGGCGGGCGGGCGGTTTTAGCCACGCGGCCAAAAAAGCCCCAAGAACAGCCGCCTCGGATACGCGCGCCCACTCGCAATCGCTCGCAGTAGCACCACCCGCCCAGAGCAGCGGCCACGCAGCCGCCGCTCGTGGCCAGCAGATATCGCCGGCCGCGCCCAACACCGCAGAGCGCCGCCACCGCCTCCTGCTGCTGCTGCGGCTGCGGCTGCTGCTGAGCGTGCCGCAAAACTCCCACGCACACCGTGCTGCCCATCCCGCCAGCCACAATCGCTGTGGCCAAGAACAACAACAAACAACAACGGACATCTACGGGTCTCTTAATGCCACTATTAAGATGATAAAAATAAAGACAAGGCTGTTTACTCATTACTGGCAATAATACAAGAGGTGTTAAAATGTCAATAAACCCAATGTCTATGTATGTGTTGAACTTCTTTCACACCGTACATAGCTAACCATGCTAATCGGAGGTGCGGGGGGGGGGCAATAAACTAAACACAAGAATCAATTTCATAGAAATTATTTTTCAATCTAGATTTAGAAGTGCATTGCTCTAGTTGCTTCCTCGTATCGGAAAGAAGAACGTTCCAGACGGCCGCAGATGCGCATCTGAAAACGCGCGGTGCGGTGACCATCTTCGTTGACTGGACACACATTACAAGGCATCAAGTCTGCATTCACTGCACACGCTTGTGGTAAAATATGAAAACGTGTGCTTTGCATGCGTTGTCTTTGAAACTGAGACAGCCGGCTTCGTGGGTCTGTCTCACCGATGCTAGGGACCAAAAGAACGCCAAAAGTTGAACAGCACAAGTCATGAGTAGCTCGGGTTTAAGTAGTTTCATCTTCGGGAACCGTTTTGCTACCACAATTAATTAGATGTGTTTGCATGTTTTGACCACACATATGTGTGGTTAATGCAGAATGTGACGCATTGCAATAATAGGTGCGTTTCTGCTTGTTTTGACATCTTAACACCTCCTCTTGCGTTATTGCCGGGAAGGGGAAAACATTTTCTTCTTTTTCAGATTTTTTTTTTACAAAAATGACAACCGCAACAACAACGTCGTCGTGTTATCAGCATCGCTCGCTATCCCTTTGCCTTACCCCCCCCCCCCCCCGTAAACACCACAGCGGCTCTCGACTCGGTGCGGTTACACTCATCCGGTCCCAAACTCACAACAACAAACTCGCAACAACGCGACCTGAGCAGGCGCCTCCCTCTCGCTCAGACACGGGAGGCCGCTGCTCCAACACGGAACGATGTCTCCCACGCGCGCGCACGGACGCACACAGACACGGACACACACAGCTCACGACGACGGCTACGCCGCCAGTCTCGGCCCCAGGCCTCGGCAAGGGAGGGAATTTACCCTTTTTACCGGGTAAAAGGGTAAAGGTAAAGGGTAAAGGTGTTGACATGCCAAGGGGTAAGGTAAAGGGGAGGGTAAAGGTAGCTCGGAAGAATTATCCGGTAGGGTAAAGTTAGCGCGAAGTATTACCCGGTAAATACGGTACCTTGTTTACCGCTATAAACTCTGTGGCGCAGTCCGTGGCCTCCATTTAATAAGTAATATTAAAAAAAAACGTTTTAAAAAACACGCTATTATTAAATGTACTAGTTATGGCAGAACTCCACGACTCCAGGAATCGGCCCCGAAGCTTGCCATAACGTAAGGGACTGTGGCCAATTACAGCCAACGTGAGTTGAGCGTGGACAATTAGACCCAAGCCGAAACATAACATATACAAAAGAATGTTTAAATATATATATTTTTATGATAGAATATATTGTCATCAGTATGACATAAGTATACCAAGTTTGCAGTCGATACCACATTAGGAAGTGGGTTAAAATTTAGTTACAAGATTTGAGGATACAACAACGACGACAACAACAATGACAAAAACGACAAGCGTGTAAAACTGGAATCATCGAGAATATTCTATATGAATAAAGTGCTCTACCTAGCATTTACCGTTATAAACCTTGTTCATGTGTAGTGCCCTAGTAATTACCCTGTAATCGGGTAATTTGTATGGGGTAAGGGTAAAAGGTAGGGTAAAGGTAGGCTCGTTGCTTTTTACCTTACCTGCTAAAGGGTAAAAGGTAGGGTAGAGTGATTGTATTGTGGTAAGGTAAAAGGTAGGGTAAAGGTAAGCTCGTTGTTTTAACTTTTTAACTTTTACCTTACCTTGCCGAGGCCAAGACGGCCCATTGAAGCCTCCTGGTTTAGAACTTGCATAGCGTGAGCAGCTGTCGCGGAGCGAGTGGCATCGTGCTACTTGGGGAACGCTACGTGTAGTAGCTATGTAGTAGCCGTGTAGTAGCTTCTACACGTGTAGTAGCTACGGGCCCTGCACTTTCAAGGGCCCCGCGCTAAATTATTTCAAGCTATCAATGCCGGTTCAGTGATTCTGCACTTGCTCTATTACTATAGTACTATACCGCCCTTCAACTTTTATGAACGACTGGGTGTTTAAGGTTAGCGATTTCTCGCATTATCTGGCCATATAACAAATGAAAAAATACAATTACTTTACTATGAAACACGGAAGGACCAACACCTCTGCCGTGGCTGATCAAAGTTTTAGCGCTGTGGGCACACATGAAATTGATTTCTCCAAGACGAAGGTACTATGCAAACCCACTGGCTATCAACAAAGATTTGTTCATGAAGCTATCCAGATATATAAACACAGACACAATTTCAACCGAGAAGATGGGTACAAACTGAGCAATCATTGTAAGGACGTTATTTTAGGTCATAACTGGCTGTGATGCTTCCATCCTACCTGCCGATGTTAGCAGTTATTTCCGACTCTCTGAGTTACATTACCTTGTTAAATGTCGTTACATTAACAGGCTAAATGTCTCACTAACATTGCTGCCGCTCCCTTTTACTCGATGCGGCGGTGGCACTCGTTGTTTAATATGCTGAATGTCTCTCATTAACACAGCCGCTGCTGCGGGAGCCGTCTCACATTGACATGCTCATCTCTAATCTCGAGCAATACAATGGCTTCTTCAGCACCGTAGCCGTGGGGTTACATTAACAGATTGACATGCTAATATCTAGCAATACAATGGCCGAGGTATAGCTAGCTCTGCGATCCTACATTTACATGCAAATTCCATCTCTAGCCCCGCCCACTTACCCTTGGGTTGTTCCCATCTCAAACCGATATAACCTTTGGCCGCAGTAGCTCTCTCACTACATTTATTCCTGCCTCAGCAGTCCACCTGCTGTATTTTTTCACCTGAAGACGATTGCTTGTTTTCTGATCGAAACGTGATTTTTTATTTAATTTAATTATTTTTCTATCTACATGACTTTACCGAAAGACCCAAAGAGTATTTACTATGCAAGTTAAAATTTTGTGTTTTAATATTTGTGTTTTTAAAATTTAGGGCCGCTTTGTAACATATGCTACAGGCCCGCACTAGCTTAATCGGGCACTGGTTGTATGTATGCATGTTGAACTTCTTTCACGCCGTACGTAGCCAACCGCGCTAATCAGAATCGCGATTAGCGTGGTTGGCTACGCTGTGGAGGGGGAGCGGAGGGGACGTGGGCGGAATCTTTGTGGCTCCAGCATCTGATCCCCCGGACCGGTCGGCGCAGGGTACCTGTACATCGCGATAGAGTTTGCGGCATTCGGGAACCTGCTGGACTTCCTGCGCAAGAGCAGGGTGCTGGAGACGGACCCGGCGTTCGCCAAGGAGCACGGCACGGCCTCCACGCTCTCCTCGCAGCAGCTGCTGCAGTTCGCGGCGGACGTGGCCAAGGGCATGCAGTACCTGAGCGAGAAGCAGGTCCGGTGTGTGTCTGGTGTGTCCAGTGTGTGTGTGTTCAAGGCTATATGGGGGGGGGGGGGGGATCTGTCTTGGTGTCAGGTGTGTGTGTGAGGTGCCGCAGTGGCGAGATGTGAACTACCTCGCCTGGTATGTAGGACGTCGTGGATTCCATTCTGACCCTGACGCCTGCTGTATATTTGGAGTTTGCGTGTCTCTCTCCCACTGGTCGCGTGAATTTTTCTCCGGGTCATCCGCTTTTTCCCTTCATATTTAGGATCATGCGTTTAGAGTATTTGGTTTCTATGAATTTCCACATGAAAAGCCACTTCGTTGAGCTATCATTTGTGGCCGTGTCGCTTATGAAAAAGGGCTATATAGCTCAGTGGGCCTTACCACGTAAAAGATAAATAGTTTAATTTTAGAGGTGCGTGTGAGGAGCGGTGTGGAGCATCGGTTAACGCGCTGCATTACGAACCTGGTGACCCAAGTTCAATTCCTGCTCACGACCAATACGGGTCCCAGGCCTTCCCCTTGTTCGACTCGGCCTTTATATGAGTAGAGTAGCACCCCTCTTTACGACCACCCCTGTTAACGACTAATCGCTTAGAGCCCAATGTGTTCGCTTACTGACCATTCCCCTGTTAACGACGGGCTATTGTAGGTACAGTTAATATTAATTAACTCGCCTTTTTGCCCGTCCAAGCACGGGTGTATATTGCAGTAAATATGAAATATTCAATAGAAAAATTGTTCAGCTCATGATTATTAATGAGGGGGGGGGTTGCCCCATGTGGAGTGACGTCACCCGCTAATGGTTATTGGGGAGGGGTGCGGCTTGTGTAGTGACGTCACCCCCTCATGGTTATTGTGGAGGGGTGCGGCATGTGGAGTGACGTCACCCACTCATGATTATTAATGAGCGGAGGGGTGCGGCATGTGGAGTGCGCGACCTTCTTGTGCGTTAGTGTAAATTTCCACGCGGACATGAATATTAATGAAGGGGGGCTCTTTTGCAGTGACGTCACACACGGATGTAGCACTGTGCTGCATAGATTTATTTTTTACCGTCACTTTCTGTAAAGAAACGTCATATTTGAAGCGACTTTGCTTAATAAATTATTTAATTCAGCTCGACCTTCCTCTGCGTTAGTGTAAAAATCCACCCACTCATGAATATTAATGAGGGGGGTGGGCCTCATGTGGAGTGACGTCACGCAGGGGGGTGGGCCTCATGTGGAGTGTTGTCACGCACAAGACGGACAGACATTTCTGGGTGATTATAGTAGGTAATGCATTGATTAAACATGTTTCTTTTAATATTACGTATTTATAATGTTTTTAGTATCGTTATATATTAATATCCATTGTTTAAATATTAGAAAGTACGTTTTTTTGGTGAAAAAGGGTAACTTTTGATGCTATCGGAACGAATTAAGTCTTAAAAATGTATCTCCTATACTCGCTTAACGACCAAATCACTTATCGACCGGTTTCGTGGAACCAATTACCGTCGTTAACAGGGGGTTCTACTGTTCCTGGTATGGTGTGCAAACATCGGCACTGGGGAGACAAAGACGGCCGGGAAAGTGGTGTTGTGGCCACCCACCCCACCTTGTGCGCCGTATCAGTGTTCGTAGGCGTCTTGCTAACAGCGCCAGCCCCCGAAGAGTCTGTTAAAGGCTGACACGGGAGCGGGCATCTTTTTCTCTTTGCCGTTACCAGTTTATTCACCGAGACCTGGCCGCTCGCAACATCCTGGTGGCGGAAAACTACGTGGCGAAGATCGCCGACTTCGGGCTGTCGCGCGGCGAGGAGGTCTACGTGAAAAAGACCATGGTGGGTACAAACGGAAAGAAATCGGAGCAAAAAAAACAACAACTACCCGATCTACGGAAAGGATCCAATAGTGCTCGCACACACATACGTACTCAAAGCAATGATTCAACGAAGTGCATTTTCTTGCTGTCGCAAACGTTTGTTCGAGACAAATTACTGTGCGAAAGCGTTCGCGGTTACGCCGGCTGGAGAAAAGGTCAAACTGGATGTCAGGCGGCGCGCTCGCGGCTCGCGGGAAGACGTCGCAGAGGAAGTACCTCCGTGATCCCTTCTGGCGACCTCTCACCCACACACGAGGGGGGCTGCATTGTCCCACGTGCCCTGCTGCAGGAAAATGTCCATCCCGTGACAATGAAGATGACTTTTTTTTATTCTCAGAGCTGTGGCATTTCGCAAAATCAAGCGCTTGTTTGCGTGCCTTCGTTTGTGGCTGGGCACTTGAGAAGCTGGCTTCACGGCGAGCGGCTCCAGCACGGATACAAACCGGGACATCCACAGCTCTCGTGTTACAGCTTCCAAATTGGCCGAGTTTACCGGGCTATCTGACGCGAGCGGTCGTCCATGTGAAAAAAAAGACTAAAAATCACGGTCAAGAACGTCTTCTTGGTCTGCCAGTGACATCACCGTGACATCATCATCCTCGCTACCATAGCTTTTACTAAATTGTCTGGTGATGTTGCTACTGTCTTGGCAGTGGTGTACAAGCGCAAACAACAACTCAACATGCTCCATGTCAATAATAACACTGTGCGTGGCCTTTAAAAATAACTTTTTATAATACGCGACGTTTCAAACAATGGCCTTTATCGAAGATAAATGATTCATTCATGATTCAATGTTGATTCATGTGCTCTGAAGAAGGCTTGTTGCCCGAAACATCTATGTATTCTCTTTGCAAGGCCGTGGACGGCGTTAGTGTTGACACGAAATGTGCTGAGTTGCGATGACATGCAATGTCAGAGCGGCGATGTCACCACAGTGCTGTCGTGCTGTGTGTTTAAAAGTTTTCGTGTTCAATCACTATCGAGGCTTCACACTCTGAACGCACAACTCCGAGTGTGCATCCTACAAGATGAGAGCCATCTACTTTGGGTTGCGTCCTCCCATACCCACAGATGCAAACGATCGTTGTAGCAATAATCTATTCCTTTACTTAGTGTCTGAGTAGGTAAATCATTCGCAGACTGAATCCGACACCAAATCCCCTGGGTCCTTGTTCTGGTGAACCTTCTCCCACAAACTGCAAAGGAGTTTTTACATTTTCTGGCCAACGATAGCCACATATCCACCCATCAACCTAGACCTCAACAATGCTCCTCGCCGCTGACTCAAGTCTCAATCTCTCTTTTGGAATGGCGCCGCTACTGCTGCTGCTGTCACCGTCCTAGAATCTCACCCCAGATCGGGAGGAACGCTGCTGGCGAACAGAGTGGAACAATGTGGACGTCCAGAATACTAAACACCTCCTCGTTCAAAACCCAAGCATCATCACACCTCCTAGCTATGGGATATTTCCAAGAGGACACTGGTGGTGTGACCATCAATTGCATCACAACATCTACAGGCCGATGTAGCACATCTCCTTCATAAATGGAAAATTGAAGACAATCCACAGCAGATCAATCGTTGGCCCCATCGTTGTGGCTAGCAGACCTCAACGTTGCCATTTTGAGATACTGAGCATCTTTGCTGCCATCACAACAGAATCAGGAGACTCTGGGCAGGATTCCCACAAACAGGACAGAGACAAGTGAAGGTCGCACAACGACGTGACGTGATGGTGGTACCGTGTGTGGGGTCTGGTGGTGGTTGCCGTTTGTTGTGTGGTGGGCGCTCCTCTGCTGTGGCGGTACGTTGGCACCGGGCGCGATGGCATCGGCTCGCTCGCTCACTCACTCCCTCCTCTTCTGTGTCTCTCTCCTCGTTCTCGCCAGGGGCGGCTGCCCGTGCGATGGATGGCCATCGAGTCGCTGAACTACAGCGTGTATACGTCCAAAAGTGACGTGTGAGTGGCACACCAGCACACATCGGCACGCGCCGGCGCATGCCAGCACACACAAAAATAGGTGGCCATTTTTTTTCTACTGTAAACCAAACCCATACATACTGGGCCTATTGTCAAAACAGTGCAGTCTCCTGCAGTGAAGTTGAACACAGCAACGCCGGTACGAGATCTCGGCACAAATCAATTCCTGCCACCCACACACAGGTGGCCAACTCCCAGACTGTTGGCAACCCCACACACGCGTGGCCAATACGTAGTGAGACGTGCACAAACATTTAACATCTATAACTTATACAGCACTACGCGTTTACGGGATGAATATCGCACACAGTCAATGCACACGAAAGTTGTTCTGTCTGTATCGGTTACCAATGTCGCGTAAGCACGTTTTGTCTGTGGATTCAAATGTTTGGCACTTCACCCAACGTCGCCGTTAAAATAAAAAAAAAACTGTAGGACGCCAGCGCTGTTTATCAAACACGCTCCATGCGCCTTGACGGCCACGGGGAGTTTCGCAACAATGGCATGTGGTGATCCACCAACCCTCACTGCCTCCCCACAGCGCTGGCTTACAGGCCTCGTGCATAGCAGTGAAGAAGAGGCATTGCCTGAAACGTCGCCTATGATATATTTATACTTTCGGCCCACGCGCACGCAGGTGTCATTGTTATTGGCGTACGTGATGAGTGTGTTATTGTTGGCTGAGCTTGTGCGCACCACTGCAAACGCGTCAGCAGCATCACCGACATGCGTTATTCAACGTTCAGGCTGCTCCAGATCACAGAGTACGCAGCCGACCACTTCCCCATGACCTTGCAGGCCCCTCGGGTCCACGGAGCACGTGTTCCATTCTCGGTTGGAGGGGTTGACTCAACCCATCATCCCTCCTCACGGGGTCAATAGAATGAGTACCAATTTGTGGCGGAAGTCATGGGCGGTTGTTTTTATGTATAGACCGGGATCCCCACCACAGGAATGTGGAATTTCCACCACTGGCTCAGGGGCTGTACAACGGGAGTTGAGCACCGATGCCTCAACGCTCGTGTGAACAGCAAATCACTCTGACTTCAGAGAGCAGGGAGGGGGTAGCGGCATAGGGGAGGCTGTGGGACTTCGTCTCTTCACAGAGGTCCGGAGCCCGGGCTCGGACAGCCGGGGAACGCGTCTCGGCCGTGTGCTCGATGGCCGAGCGGGAAGGTTGATCCCACGCGACGGCTTTGGACTCCGGAGGCCGACCGTAGCTCACAGCAGAAGGCCTGGGGTAACTGGAGCAAAGAAGAGGCCCGGTTTGCGGTACAGGGTGCCACGGTGGCGAGATGTTAACTACCTCGTCTGGTATACAGGAGGTCGTGGGTTCGATCCTGATGCCTGTATATTTGGAGTTTGCATGTTCTCTCTCTTCCCGTGGTAACGTGGATTTTTCGCAGGTTCCTCTGGTTTTTCCCTCCAAATTTCGAATCAAAGTGCAATTACAGAGTATTTGCCTGCTATACATTTCCAAATGATAAGCCACTTCGTGGAGCTATCATTTGTGATGGCCAGGTCGCTTCCAAAAAGAGCCATATAGCTGAGTGGTACCTTACCTGGTAAAATAAAAAAAATAGTTAAATAGAGCGTGTCGGAGGTGGCGGTGGGGACCTTTCGCACGAGTCGGTGCTGTGGACCAGCGGGGAGCTCGTTCTGCCGCTGGTTTCCTAGAGGATCCGCGGTTTGAATGCAGTGGGCCTCGTTGATAACCGTGCCATACCACGTGCCGCCTGCTTTGCTCAAACAGCCGATACCGCGACGTTATTCGAAGGAGAGTAGTGAGGCATTGCGTTCCGGCGTCGTGGTCTCAAATTGGCCACATTTAGTAAAATCATTGACTCTGGAATCACGCGGAGCAGCGATCGCCGCCCCCCTTTCCATGCTGCGAAAGAGCAGGACCCTCGCGAGAGAGCGTCTTGAGACTCGGCGAGGCTTTGCCGGGTAAACAAAGTGGCAAACGCCAGGGCGTGAAGACGCCGCGACGTTGATCGCATTCGTGCGGCCGGGATGAGCGCGGGGGCGGTGGGTGGTGGGCGCTGCGGCTCGTTCCCACACGCCCCCCACGTCCCGCCGCCACCACGACCCACAATCCACCTTCCCACGCACGGCGGCCGCAAGGGCGGGCTTATCTCTCTCCCGAAACGCTTCCACGCGGCCGCTGGGGTCCAGCGGGGGCGGTGCTATCGGGGGCCGCAATGCGGTGCCCTCCCTGCTCATCGCGCCGCTACCACGCGCCCATCCCGCCCCCTCCCCCCACGCCCCCACAAAACCACGGCCCAGCCTGCTGAGTCGCCGCAGGCCGAGGCCACGGATGATCTGCTAATTAGGCTCCTAACTGCCTCTGACGGCGGCGGTAACCGTAAAGATCACGCGAGAACGTGGCCCTCTGCTTCACTCGCAGTGGACGTCAAAGATCCCGCGAAGTAATTCGAAGAAGAGTGGCAGGCGTCACTCACAATTTGTCAAAAAAATTATCCACCGCAGATTAATCAATTGGGATAGACGACAGCAGCAATCGTCGCCCCCCCTCCCCCCCTTAAGCAGGACCCTCCTGAAGAAGAGTTTTGAGGCTCCCCGGTGTAAACAAGCGTAATGACAAGAGCAATAATGCGCCTGGTGTCTGTGAAGGAGGGGATGATGCCAAGTGACTAGGAGATGTTAACTACCTCGCTTGGATGTATACAGGAGGTCGTGGGTTCGATGCCGACCCTGACACCTATATATTTGGAACTTGCATGTTCTCCCAGTGGTCACATCGATCCTCCGGTATTGCTGCTAGACATTCGAACCGTATGGCTGGCCCCCTGGGTCCCATAAGCCCCCGGCTCTTGCGTAAACATTATATTATAATGTAAACATTATATTATAATGTAAACAAACACTTTGCTCTTTTTCACCAATGGGTTTGAAGGATGGTGGCAAGTGTTGTCTTGTTAAACTATGCCTTTAAAACTGAAAACTGAAAACTGCTTACCTGTAGTACCTATATTTAAATATACTATCGAAAAAAATAATGTACAGCCCTCTGTCAATCATCGTGTTTCTCAGTGTGGATTTGTGAACACACTTTGTAAACAGTAAACAGTAAAATAGTACGCGTTTTTAATGCGCTGTTCATATTGTAACAAGCGTTTATACCAATGTTACTCTACAGAGTAGTGGGTCGCCGCTCCTCTTATCCGCATTGATATGAGCAGTATGTGGGGACTATGACTTAATCGCTAAAAAAAACTATCTGCACAGATGCATACAGACAAGAGAAGTATCAAACAGGAGGAATTAACGGTGCAACGCATCTGTTAAATATCTGCAGGTAATAGGATTGTCATCGATTGATCCTGGCTGCAGACATTGGTAGGTCACAAATAATAATGAAGATAAGAGAGCAGTTTCACTGTAGTATGCATACCGTTATGACAAATAAAGGACTTAAGTCGTGTAGGCAGTTTGAGCAGCTTTGGATAAGATTTATGATCCTGCCCATACCCGAGCATGGAGTGCATTCGCTTGTTCAGCTCTTCTGCCCAATCGTCCTCGCTTGCTTGGACACGACGTGACAACAGAACGATCCGCGCCAGGTGGGTCGCGGCGTTTATGTGGGCGGTGGGACGGAGTCGCGAAAAATCAATTAATTACGATTTTGACTTCCGTTTATTCGCGACCCCAGGGTCCCGCCATAAGGTTCATTTTCACACGATGAGCCGTTTCGTTGAGTCCTGTGATGCGCTTACGTTACTCCGTCCCCGCACAGACTCGCCGCGTCGGCGGGCGGCCTGGGCCGGGACGCGGGACCTCACGGCCCCCGTATGGATTTGTTTATTTTCAACTGAAAAAATCGGAGAATTTCCCGGGGAAAGCCACGTGGGGTGCGCGTGCATCCGTTGATTCCGTCACCTGGATGCGCGCGTGCGTCGGGAGCCGGAGAGCGGTGGCGTTTGTAACCGCGTCTGGGCCGAGGGCTTTACCTCCTCGCGTTCGTGGGGTATTCTCCACATTACGCCGGCTCCCACGTTTTAAACTCTCATCAATGGGCGTAAGCCAAGCATCCCAATGTGGGAGCCTCCTGAGTAGTAGTCTTGAGACTCGGCGAGGCTCTCTCGGGTGAATCGATAGCCACGGCGCGTCGAAGAAGAGGCGAGGTGGTACAGCAAAAATGTGGACTCCATTTGTTCCGCATGCTTGGGTTTTCTCCGGGCAATCCAATTTCATCCCACATATAAATATTAATTAATTGGCCGGTAACACCTGCATATATAGAGGACCGCAGAGCTTGGGCAGTCGTTGGTGCCGGCTCACCACACGACTGCCTTCCCGCTTGTCTGCGGTTCCTCCTCGCGTCTTTGCGTCATTGTCCCTGAAAATGAAGTTCTTGTTATGAACCTTGGCCCAGCGTTCCAGGTTGTATTAGTCCCTGACCCTCTGCTCACGATCATTAAGGACCTTCATGATGGTGAGCGGGCCCGGGTAAAACTACGTGGCCGGGAGTCAGAGCCATTCCCTGTACACCTTGGGGTGCGACAGGAATGTCCTCTGGCTCCCACATTATTTTACATATTTTGAACACGTCGTTCGTGAAGCCTTCAATAGCTGTACCGGGGGAATTTCCATTTGGTACAGATATAATGGGAGGCTGATCGATGCCCGGGTGCGGTCAAGGGATGGCTCCCTCTTGTCAACCACGGTATGTATGCCGATGATTTGGTAATAGCTGCTCATTCAGAGGAGGAGTTGGAGATGCTGCTGCTGAAACTGGAGCGTGCCCTCTAAGAGGTGGGGCCTTACCATCAGCCCCACCAAAACTAAGCACCTGCCTGGGTATTTTGTACCATCGGACATTCCACCCCCACAACTACGAATCGGTGATGGGGCAGTTGTGGAGAGAGTTGAGAGTTTCCCATACCTGGGCAGTGTGCTCGTGAGCGGCTCCGGTTTAACAGCAGAGGTCTCACTCCGAATCAGTCGAGCGGCAATATCTTTTCATCGGTTGCGTAACGCTGTGTGGAAGCTACCTGGTCTGTCGCTCCGCACGAAGCTTCAGGTCTTCTCGGCCACGGTCATTCCCTCCCTTCTCTATGCTTGCGAAACGTGGACCCCCCTAATGGAGCATCTTCGCCGGTTAGAAACATTTAGGCTGGCCTGCGTACGATCCATCCTGGGTTTAACCAAGCTGGATTGTGTGAGGAGCTCACAAATTCTTGAAAGACCTGGGCAAAGTCCCATCGGTGAGCTCCTCTGGCAGGCAAGGCTGCGTTGGCTGGGTCATTTAGCCCGCATGCCCAGCCACCGTATGCCTAAACAGCTTTTGTTCGGCCGGATAGAGGGGGCTAAACGGGCGCGGCACGGGCTACAGAAGATATGGAGTGATGTGGTACAGGAGGACGTGGAGCTGAGTGGACTTGCCGATGACTGGTACCAGCGGTGTCAAGATCGGCCTCAGTGGAGGAGGCTCATTAAGGACGCTACTGGGCAGTTGGAGGCAGTCGCCCTCCAACAACAACAGAGGGTGGAGGAGCGACGCTCACAACAACGAGCAGAGCGCCGGGACGCTAAAGCACAGCAAGTTGGCACAGTAGGGGCACATGTGGTGCATCAACTAGTCATCACAGTCATCTCAGTCAGTCGACCTGTGGCACCTGGGTCTGCCCCCTGACCTCCTGCCAGCGGGCGTTCAACACTTCACGTGGCCTCAAGGTGCACATAGCCTGGCACAAGCGTCGTGGTGACGTCACCGCCACTTAGTGGCGAATGGCGGCTGTTGCTGTGTGTGTGTTCGCTAACAGCACTTCCCCCGACAGTCTGTTAAGGCTATACGGGGGATCTTTGTGTTATCATTATGTGTCTGTGCGTGTGCGTTCTGCCTTTGTCTTTGTGAGGCTCTGCGTGTGTCTGCAGTGAGTTTATTTTGTTTTGCCAAATGAGAACAACCCTTTGTGTCCATCGATGTGTCTTGTGTCTACGTCTGTGTCTTCGTGTACACGTGCCGCGGTGTGTCTGCGTCTGCGTATGAATGTGACTTCTTGACCCGTATCCACAGATATAAATAAAATCCCTCCAGCTCCCAAATCCATTCCTGGGATCCAAGATAGCACAGTCACCTTCTCCCCTCCACGCACTCCCCTACCTCTCCCCTCTCATCTCACTCTACCCCCCTCCACGCACTCTCCTACCTCTCTCATCTCATCTCACTCTACCCCCCTCCACGCACTCTCCTACCTCTCCCCTCTCATCTCACTCTACCCCCATCCCCAGCCACTCTCCATCTCTCTCATCTCATCTCACTCTACCCCCCTCCACGCACTCTCCTACCTCTCCCCTCTCATCTCACTCTACTCCCCTCCACGCACTCTCCTACATCTCCCCTCTCATCTCACTCTACCCCCCTCCACACATTCTCCTACCTCTCTCATCGCATCTCACTCTACCCCCCTCCACACGACTCCCTACCTCTCCCCTCTCATCTCACCTCTACCCCCTCCACGCACATCTCCTACCTCTCCCCCTCTCATCTCACTCTACCCCCCTCCACGCACTCTCCTACCTCTACCCCTCTCATCTCTCTCTACCCCCTCACTCAAAACTCGCCCCTCCACGCACATCTCCATAACCTCTCCCCTCTCATCTCACTCTCACTACCTACCCCCCTCCACGCACTCTCCTATCCTCTCCCCTCT